ATTTTAAGAGCGTTCCCTTAATTCCGAATGCGGAGAGTTTATTCATAAGAATATTATGATCAACCTTGTCGAAGGCTTTTGAAAAATCCGTATAGATAACATCAAGTTGGGCTTGATCTTCAAATGCATTGATAATATTATTGGAAATTAACGTAAGATTAGTGCACGTAGATTTTGGTGGCATAAAACCATGCTGGTATTTCGATATTGAGGAATATACCTGATTAAAAAGTTTTGTTTTAAGCACGAAATCAAACAGCTTTGAAAAAGTACTTTGTTTCACGATGGGTCTGTAATTGCATATCTTATTGCGATCGCCTGATTTGTGAACAGGAACAATTGAACATAATTTCCAAGGATCCAAAAAAACTGCGTTATCTATACATTTATTAAAAAGTTTAGCTATTGGGTTCGATAAAAAACTTGAATGTGGTTAAAAAAAATGGGAGCAAGACCCTCATTATCTAAACTATTGCTGCTTTTCAGATTAGCGATCGCGAGTTCGACATCATCTGGCGACACAGTAAAACTCTCAATGATGTCTAATGGCAACGGACCAATTGAATGGTTATTATTTAAGTCATATTTAGCGTAAACCTCTTGAAAAAAATTTGCGAATAGATTGCAAGAGTCAATGGGATTGTACGATGCCAAGTTTCGTTTGCGTAAGTGGTGCTCGAACTCACCAGAATTTCTTTCTACCATCGATTCAATTGATCGGGAGACGTCAGCAGAAACAATTATCGACGACAATCAGACAGTAAAAACGTTAGGTTTGTTATGGGATACGACTTGTGACTCCATTAAATTTAGCATCACCTTAAGCGCATTACAAGCGCAAGTTACAAAACGCACAGTATTATCAGATATTTCAAAGGTGTTCGATACACTAGGATGGTTGTCACCAGTCGTTGTGTCAATGGAACTTTTAATGCAGCAGCTGTGGCTTAAAGGAATTGATTGGGATGCAGCTTTGCCTAGTGATATGGTTACACACTGGTACGAGTTGAGAAGGGGTATCAATGACATTCGCGATATCCGAATCCCTAGATGGGTAAAATACAAAAGAGGTGAAATGTTGGAGCTTCATGGGTTCGCAGATGCGTCTGAGATAGCTTATGCTGCAGCAGTTTACTTAAAGGTCCACCACATAGATGGTTTGGTGTCAACAAATCTAATAGCATCGAAAAGTCGTTTAGCACCTATTAAACAAATAAGATTACCACGACTTGAGCTGTGTGCCGCTCAGCTCATGACGAAACTGATTGTAAATGTTAAAGAAGCCCTTGAGGTTGATCAAGTACCAATATTTGGTCACTCAGATTCAACTATTGTGTTGTCCTGGCTAAGTGATTATCCACGACGATGGAAAACATTTATTGCTAATAGAACTTCATATATCCTAGATATTATACCACGACAAAATTGGCGTCATATTTCCTCACATCAGAACCCCGCGGATTTAGCAACTAGAGGTATTACTGCTTATAATTTGATTAATAGTAATATTTGGTGGCACGGACCCAATATTTTGTGTACCAATCAGAATTGGGAGCAGGTTGTGCTTGAACCGCCAAACGAAATGCAGTTGGAAGAAATACCTATGATGTTATGTCATACTGCTGCAAAACACGTAGACGACTTATTTGAACGGTTCTCAAATTTTGAAAAGTTATTGTCAAGTTCAGCATACATTTTAAGATTCGCGACAAATTGTAAAACAGACAAATTGAATAGAATAACAGGATTTTTTAAGTGTACAAGAGCTTCGTAATGCTCATGATGTTTTAATTACGAAGGCTCAGATGGAGTCGTTCTCTTCAGAAATTCAGACCTTGTTATCTGGTAAATCTCTTTCGGTGAAACATAAATTATCTGCACTAACACCGTTTATTGATCAGAATCACTTGCTTCGTGTTGGTGGAAGGATTGAGAACGCGAATATTAGCTATGATCAAAAACACCCAAAAATTCTAAGCAAAGATAGTACATTGACACCAATATTAATCAGGTATTATCACAGTAAATATCTACATGCAGGTAGTCGATCAATGCAATACTTACTTGGATTAAGGATTGGATTCCGAGTTATCAAACAGTGCATATACAAGTGTACAAAATGTGTGCGTTTTAGGAAGAAACCGTTTTATCAACAGATGGGTAATTTACCACGACATCGGGTAGAAACCACATATGCGTTCGTAAATACAGGTATAGATTTTGCAGGGCCAATACACGTAAAGTCATGGAAAGGTAGAGGAAGTAAAACGTACAAGTGCATAAATGGAGGAGTTATGATAAAAGACCTCATATCTGAACAATCAGTTGTATGGGGGCTGCAGGTTATAGTGACCCGATCTTTGTTATTTTCGCTGTAAGTCTTCTGTTGATAATGAGTGAAAACAGCGCGAAATTTCATGGTCCTTGCTAGAGAAATGGATGGATTATAACGAAAAATCTCATATCTGAACAATCAGTTGTATGGGAGCTATAGGTTATAGTTACCCGATCTTTTTAATTTTCACTGTAAGTTTTCTGTTGATAATTATTGAAAACAGTGCGGAATTTCATGTTCCTAGCTATATAAATGGAGGAGTTATAACGCAAAATTTTATATCTGAACAATCAGTTGTATGGGAGCTATAGGTTATAGTGACCCGATCTTTGTAATTTTCACTGTAAGTATTCTGTTGATAATGGGTGCAAGTATTGCAAAATTTCATGTTCGTAGCTGCATAAATGGAGAAGTTATAATGAAAAATCTCATATCTGAACAATCAGTTGTATGGGAGCTATATGTTATAGTGGTCCGATTCTTCCGGTTCCGACAAATGATTAATACATTATAAAAATACACCCACCTACCAAATTTGATCCGGATATCTCGAAAACTGAGAGACTAGATTGCATACAAACAGACAGACAGACGGACAGACGGACATGGCTAAATCAACTCAGCTCGACGTTCTGATCATATAAGTATACATTTTCATGGGTCTATCTCTTTTTGTTCTGGTACTTACAAACATCGGACCAAAGTTATAATACCATTTCATGCTCATGAAAGGTATAAAAATTTGCGAATAGATTGCAACTGTCAATGGGATTGTACGATGCAATATGACAAAACTGGTTGGATAACCGTTTGTTTTGCGCTTGGAGTTAATGTAATACCAAAAACTATTGGGATTGGATCGTAACTTTGATTCTACATTTAACAAATGCTGCTTGAATAAAAAATTAAGAAGATAATCGAATTCTTTTCTTATTCCAAGGAAGTTTTGATAGTCAATATCTAGATTTGATTTCATGTATTTTTTGTAAGCTTTATTCTTCGCATTCTTTAAGTGGCATAATCTTGAATTAAACCAGGGAGGTTTATTACGCGGAGTCAATTTCCTGACAGGAACAAAGCTTGAAATAATATTGGAGATTTGATTAAGAAAAATATTATAAGAGATTTCAGGACTATTTATTGAGCTCAAAAATGACCAATCCATATTGCTTATATGATTATTTACTTCCATGATGTCATAATTAGAATAGTCGCGATTCAAATATATAAAATGTGAAATCAACTAGCGCATTATGATGAAGCGTTTTGATTGATATAGGAGCTAAGCATTCCTCACAAGATGCATTCAACTCTGCAGATGTAAATACTAAATCTAAGATTTTATTTCCTTCATTTACGACAGGGTTAATTTGGTTAAAACCGTGCGACAATAGCGTCCTAGTAAAAAGCAAGTCAATATCAGACTTTAAATTTGATGGCAATAGAACATTATTATCATATACCCAAGTAATATTACCAATATTAAAATCACCAAGATAAACTACTTCATCGGTGTAATTAGCACTGTCACTTATATCTACCAAATTTTGCTAATGCTTTTCGTATACATCAATGTTGCTCTTTGGTGGTATGTAAGATACTAATATAAATACTGATTTATCTTTCGCGAGCTTAATTTTAACACAAATTTGTTCTATAGAATCATCACTTAAATCTAACGATACAATACTACTACAGAGATCAGCGCTTATTACAATTAATACCCCACCACCTCTCGCAAGCCCTGATGAGATAGGACAACGATCGACGCGGTAAACATGGTAGAAGTCGTCGAAAACTCAGACGAAGATAAATTATTATTTAACCAAGTTTCAGTGATGGCTATAATATCATACTCATGAAGAGATTAGTCACGACGGAATTTCGAAGATTTAGTGCGCATGCCACTAACATATTGATAGTAAATGCTATAATCACGTATTTTGTCGTCACCAAATACAGACTTCGACCTATTTTCAATTGATAGAATCCGATTCTTTGGCTTTCTGAAAAAAGCGAAATGGCCGTACTCTTACGCCAGCTGGCCATAACTCTGCATCTAAGAGCTTATTATATAGCGGCGGTGGAACGCCTAGTTTAAAATTTACTCTTTTTGGAGTTTCATCTTTTTTTATTAGTTTAAAGCAAGAGATGACTTTGCAGTCGACTTTCATATACTTCGCAGCGTAATTAGCAACATCATATGCGTGGACAGATGGTTTGAATGAAGAGAGGTGCACCCACTTCATTCGTACAGATACTTCCAACTCACCTCTCCCATTTCTACCAACAACACCGGCGCGATTTTTCTTCTTAATATTATCACTTACCGACAGGTTATTGGTAGATACAGCGTTAATAGCACCAGACACAGGAGCATCGTTAATACCGAGAGCAGCAGCGGCATTGATATTAACACAATCATTAGGCGACAAGTTATTAGTAGGCACAGTGTTAAGAGCACCAGATATGGGAGCGTCATTAGCACCTAGAGCAGCAGCGGCAGCGTATGAAGTTGGCACATCTCCAATGTCATCAGCAGCGAAAGAGACAGCGTTGTTATCATCGTGCTTACCAGTGTTACTCGTAGGTACAGTGCTAAGAGCACCAGATACGAGGGCGTTGTCAACACCAAGAGCAGCAGCGGCAGCATATGAAGTTGGCACATCTCCAATGTCAGCAGCAGCGAGAGAGACAGCGTTATTATCACCGTGCATACCAATACACGTTCCCTCGACGTTATCTTCTCTCGATAATGTAGTGCGAATTCGATTTGGTACACGTGGCATTGGCATTCATGTCAAAAGATGTGAGCGACGATTGCAGCAACAAAGACGGC